AATGGCACAGGATAATGTTGATTCTATTGCATGCTATTTTTGAAACAGCCTTCTTTGTGTTTATGGTATTTTCTGCCTTTTCACTTTCAAATATTAGACACACAGTTTGGAATTTCTTAGAGTAGCAAAGATATTGTTGCTGTGAGTATATGGTATTAGAGTATTAGAGATTAAACTGATTGTCTTCTGGGTTTGGGAATCGTTAAAAAGGAAAAAATCGTACATGGTACCTGATCATTCACTCTGACTCCAATCTGCCTCATGTTTTTTTAAATTAGCATTTACAATCCTGCCTGTTAGCTATATTTTAAGAAACCGAACCTAAAAACTGCACAACTGTCAGGGTTGCTCTTATGGCATTTCTTGAAACTGCATTCTAGAATCACTTAACTCAAATAAAATCCTTTTTTTATTCCTGTTACTTTCATGTGCAGAGCTCTATAGAAAGGAAGACCAGAGCTTCATAAAGATATTACAGCAGGTCAGAAGAAATGGTTCTTCCTATGCCAGCAGTTTCTTCTTCCTATGCCAGCAGTTTCTTTGATTTCCCTATGCCAGCAGTTCTTGCTGTGTTTTCACCACTAAGCAACGCTACAAATTCACAAGTTGCTTTGCTTTGACACATCCCTGTTGGTTTTGTGTCCATTGAACAGAAAGGCTACATCTAGACTGGCATGATTTTCCGCAAATGCTTTTAACGGAAAACTTTTAACGGAAAACATGGGCTCCATGCAGCGCTTTCACCTTTGAAGTGAACTACACTTCAAAGGCAGAGGCGCCCTATCGACTAATCAAATAGTCGATGCAAAAATGCATCGACCATTCGATATGTCAATTACTCGATATTGAACATCCCTACGCCTTCCCTCCAGGACTCTCAGAGCACCACACATCTGATTTGTGCTCAGTCCCGCCCCTTCCCCTCCCCTCCAGACCTGGAATGCCGCAAACCAGCTGTTCAAGCTCTGGAAGGGAGAGAGAGGAGTGTGGATGGAGTGGAAATCCACTGATTTGTGGCACTCCAAAAGTGATGGGTGGGAGGGAGAGCAATAGGAAGTGCAGGGCTCAGTGAGGGGAGAGGGGCAGAAAGGGGTCCATAGGCCGCAGGTGGAACCCCAGTGGAGCCTGGGCTGCTATGGCCTACTGGGATGAAGGAGGGCAACTCATGCAGCCCACCCACTAATGATGATTTCCCATCGCTGCACTAGATAGATGATTATGATGGTCACTTGGGGCCTTGAAGTCTGAGCCTAATTGCTTTTCTCCCCTCCCCCCCCATTTCAGTAAACTTTTCCCCCATAGGCTATAATAGACTTCAGTATTGCTCTACTCCCTTTAAAACAAGAAATGGCACAAGACACCTGTTATTTTGCTGGAGAAAAAGAGCTCCTGCACAGCATGCACACCATCATTTAGAAAATCTCACTTCGTTTAATAGGCAGACCCAGAGAGAGAAAGAGAAAATAGCATGAATATCAGAAGCATCACTACAACAACAAAAATGGGAATGATGAATTATCACTAGTAGGAAAATGCAGAAAAGTTTCTGGACTGAGTGTTTGCAAGTATTTTTATGGAAAAACTCAAACCTTGTAGTGACCAGTTTTGTGCAGTAAAAAACGGATTTTACTGCAGCTCAGCTAATGCAGGCTCTGCATGCGCCAGTGTAAATTCTGTCATCTACATCCCATGAATTCAAGCCATAAATCATCCAATCCAGTATATTTTATGCTTAGTCTAGCTCCCCACCAACATCACTGGGGTGGCATACTTTCTTTCTGGGTTAGTAAACATACAGATCAAGGTCCTCACCATCACATTTTGGAATGATTTGAATGGTTTTTTTAAAAGCACAGACCCTTGTTTCAAAATCTTCACATGCTCTTCACTGTTCATCCAAAACCAAAAAATTCCCTCCCACAAAAGAGAGTCTAAACACTTGTGTATCCCTTTTTGTCGTCTTTGGCTATCCTTCAACGTGAGGCTGATGTCTGCTTAGGGGGTTATTGGTGAGTTTTTAAGCAGCTGAGGAGCCCAATTTTTGCCTGGGGGGTGCAGGAGTCAGGTTTGGGTGTTGTGCAGAGGCTCAGTGAAGGGGTCTGGAGATTTGGGGGTGCAGAGTTGCCAACCCACAGAAACTTCAATTACGGACAAAATGGGAAAAATTTACGGACAGACATTTTTTTCCTGACATAAATTTATACTCTATTAAGACGACATAAATAGCCAAAAGTGAAAACTTTAATGGTAAACAATAGTAAATTACATAAATTGCCAATATGCTGACGCTAACTCGGCAGGATAACGTAGAGCATGTGATTCACGTTACGTCACCTCAACCATTGTTCTAACTAACTCGGCAGGATAACGTAGAGCACGTGATTCACGTTACGTCACCTCAACCATTGTTCTAAATAAACAACTAAAATGTCCAATTTCCGCTGCTCTGCAGTAAAATGGCTGAAGCAGCACAGAAGAAATTTAATTGCTATAGAATAATTGCTGTATTTTGAAATTTTATTGCACTTTTACAAAATTTATGGACACCTACATTTTTTTACAGGCTTTACAGACATGTCAAATTTTGGCTAATTTTTTTACAGACTGTCTGTAAATTTACTGACGGTTGGCAACCCTGGGGCGGGTGAGAGTCAGGGTTGGGGTAAGGAAGGGCTCAGGGAAGGGGTGCGGGTACAGGCCTCAGGGCAGGTAGTTGGGGGGGAGCAAAAGGAGGGGATGGGGTCATGCATGAATATAATTGCCCCTTCTATCACACCCTTCCCTTTCCAGTTGATATGAAACAATCACATTTCACACACATTCCATTATCCTGGCACAACCAAACCTTAACTTTGCTTTAAGTTAGCAGAAGAGGAAGCTGCATACCAAATTTGGTGGTCCTAGATCTTACCATTTCGGAAGAGTTCTTGAATAAATGGACTCTCAGACAGACAGATGCACAATTCTAAAATATATAGTAAGATGTTGTGTATCTATGCAAGACAGTATTTGCTTTCCCACCTGGCCTGGGTAAACTGTACTGCTGTGCAACTGCTAGTTGTCACCCCAGTTGATATGGGAATTCTAAAGTCAGGTAAGCTTAATTAGTGGGCTTATTTTGGGTGTCTGTAATACCTGTTGAGATTCCTTCCGATACCTTTTCCACACAACTGATCCAGCATATGTCACCAATTCTCTAGGTCCAGCAATTCAGCTCAACTCCAGCTTGTCCTTTATCCAAGTGTAACCCTTCTGCCGGGTAGGCCTGGCAGTAACTAGGGCTAGGTTCAATATCTTGGGGCCAGCACACATAGAACTGGCTCGGGCCCCCACCCAGTAATCTGGGAAATTCACACCCCCCTGGGTGCCTCTGAGAGGCAATGCTTCCCCACTCGCAAGCACTGAGTCTGAGTGTAGGAAAGAAACATTTAATGAAACAGAAAGAGAAGTCATACGGCATTAACTTGGGGAAAACACCACAAACAGTTCATACCCCCAAACATGAGCCAAGCCCTCCCCCAGCCAAGAATCGCCTGAAGTCCAAAACAGTCCGACACCCCAAAAGTCTCTGTCCCTGGTCCATGCCACCCAGAGTCCCAAAGTTCACCGCAGGGTTTCACCTCCCAACCTGGGTAGAAATGCGGGTGGGGGGATAGATAGGGGGCACCTTATCCGAAACTCCGCCACGCTCCACCAGCTGTCTCATTCCACCCCTCTGGACCCTCCACTAGGCACCTGCCATCGCTCCATGCCACGCCGCTGGTCGCCGCTCCTCGCCTGCCGCCGCTCCATACCACACCACTGGTTGCCGCCACTTCACTGGCTGCAATAGGTCTAGCACTCAGCCAAACCAGTGATTTCAGCTCTCAGTGATTTCAACTTGTTAGCCGCCAGCTGGACTAGCAAATGAATCCAGCTTTCACTGGACTAGCAAAAGAAAAGACTCTTCAGGGAGTCTGCTTTAGGTCTGTCCTTAAAACAAAGGGGGAAAAGTACAGGCTGGGCCAGTCTTATAGCTCACACCTGGCAGGTGTGAAGCAGGCTGACTCAAACCTTTTAACCCTTTCCCCCAGCTCTGTTCACTCAACTCTGGAAGTGGGGAGGCTTGTTCTTCCGAGACCTCTAACTATGATGGTGGTGTCTCTCCTGCAAGCACTCATGTGGCATGTTTTACAGTTCCCACATTTAGGGGTAGCATGATTAAGTTACCCCCACAACAGTCCCAAATTATATACAATTCTCCACATTCCATTCCAACACTGACCTTCCATCAGCCCTGGCTGAATGGGATTTACATAGCCACACCTCGGATTCTCTCCTGAGCAGTATTTACATGTCAACAGTTAACAGTTAATTACTTTGCAGAGCTAAACAACTGTAGTGGGCACACCCACCCCTCCTTTTAGCTGGCTGACAGCAAGCAGCAGTTCAGCCCCTGCTTACACAAGTAACAGCTCTATGCCCATACTTGCCAGGGCCAAACACAGGTGGTTTAGGTACAATTGATGCCACAATTCCACATCAGATCACACTACATCATTTATGTGCCTTTTTCCTAGCTACTAACATCTATACTTCCTGCACCTAATTGGTTTGGACACTGTATTGGTCCTTACATGAGCCATCACTTATGTTCTCATCTTATCTACCCTTCAGGCTTATCAGTTCAGTGTTTTCTGGCTTATCTCAGCTGTCCTGCAAAAGCTCTCTTCAGCTCACAACTTGCTACACTTTTGTTTACAATCTAACCATATATTCCAATCAAACTATAGGCAAGTTTACTAATGCCCAGGAAGACCTATGCCTACATTACCCAAAGTGCCTTTCCACCTCAGATATTTAATAGCAATTCTGTTCTCTGAGATGTGGGGCAAATTGAGATGTTTTGGGGCCACTTTGACAACATATGCTCTTTTGTGAATACATTTAGTAAGAGTTCCTAGACCATTCACAAAATGGACTCATGGAGGTGATAATATCCTTGTTTTCTCTTTAAACAGAGTCCCTCACTCAGCATCTGGAATGTCTCAGACTCTTTGGAGATGAAACTGAAGCTGAAGGTCAGATCCTTGCAAGTCTAAATGGGATTCTTCTGGCACTTGCTGAAGACAGTTAAGTATCACTCCAAACCATTGTTGATTACCACCAGCAGCATTCCTGAAGACTTGTATCATATATGACTATTTTTATTAGATAATAGAGGTCGCTCCTAAAATCTGCCCTTCCCCACAAACCCATTTTCTGTTGCATAGGTGGGGAGGGGGGTGTCTGCTGCAAACAGTATAATGGATAAATTACTTTGTCTCACTTTAAACTGGAGCGTGCTTTAAAGCAGCAATATGAAAATAATGTCAGGCTCTTAGGTAGTGGTTCCATAAGTTCAGTTTTACTTGGGTAGGAAATATAAACTAGAGTTGATCAGACAGTAGAACTTCCATTCCATGGGAATTTCTGACATTTAAATATTCCACACTTTATTAGCATAAAAATGGCCACTGCTTTTTGTCGCCACGGAGCTTTGGCGACAAAAAGCAGCAGTCTAGACACGGATCTGTCGCTCACTAAAGCCTTTAACGACAGATCCCTTATGACTCGTACAACGAGGTATACAGGATCTGTCGTCAAAGGTTTTAGTGAGCGACAGATCCACGTCTAGACTGCCGCTTTTCATCACCAAAGCTCCGTGGCGACAAAAAGTGGCGGCCATTTTTATGCTAATGAAGCATGGGATATTTAAATCCCTGCTTCATTAGCAATTTTGGTATGTCTAATTTACATCCCTGCTGAGGTCTGTCAATGGAGGAAAAATCCAGCCTTCAGTAGTTAACTTCTGAGTGGAAAATTCCTACTGCCCCTCAAAAGGTACTTGAAAGTTAAACTGAGGTTCTTTATTAAAACCTTAAGAGTAAATGAGAGCAATGGAGAGGGGAGTTAAGCAGAGGAGAAATCATTAGGATAGCCTTAAAAGAAACAACCAAATTCTTTCTAGGCAGAAATTTACATGGGAGAGGTATATCTGCTGATTCAAAACAATAGCTATTAGCTACAGTGTCATTAAGATGACATGAAAAGACTTGCATTGAAGCTTCTAGTCTGTTCGTTATTCCATTTAAATAAATAAAACATTTCAACAATGTGTGATTTCAGTTAGCTATGATCCAGAAATACAGAAGCAAAGAGAGCTCCACTTCGACTTAAAACTCTGGAGTGTCTTCAAGTCCAACTGTGAGCATACAATGAATTTAGTGATCAAAAATCTTGAAGTGACAAAGAAAATTCAGATTTAATTTCCTACATAAGAAATAAGTCTGAATCTTAAAATTGTCTTTTGGTGATTTTCCCACTAGATTGTTTTATCATGAGCTAGTTGTAATAAAGCACTGGGCTAAGTTATACATTTAAGGTATGACTACACTGCCCTCTTAGCTTGAGGCAATTTGCGTAGCTTATTTTAAGTTAATTTTGAAATAGCTTAGTTGGTAATTTGTCTGTGTCTACACAGCACCAAATTTCAAAATAAATCGCTATTCCAAAATGTCCTTTAATCCTACTGAAATAAGATTTACAGGAATGTTGAAATAGCGAGCTCATTATTTTGAAAGTTATTTCAAAATAACGGGCACACTGTCAAGATGTGGAATAGCTATTTTGTAATACTGGAACATCCCAAAATAGTGCCACATACCCTTAGACAGCAATTAAAATACAGAAATGTGTATGGCTAGAAAAAAAACTAACTGCAGCCTTTAATAGTAAATATGAAAAATATTCACTCACTTGGATCTTAATTTTAATAAATAAGCCATACACATTTTTTATTCTGAAAGCTGATACTATGTCACTATTAGTGTATTTTCTTAAGACAATTTACCTGGCTAGTGCTGCATTCAACTTTATGAAGTTGGTAGTTTTTACTAGTGTAACAAATTTCAGTTTTCAGGTTGATCACGTTGTAAACTTGCACTCTATTACACACCGTTCATTGTGGTGTGATTGGTCATTTCTGTCACAAGTTATTGTTTTTGCTCCCTGATTGGTTTAGTGAATCATTTTAAAACAGGAAAATAATGGAACAAACTTCCACTAAGAATTTTCATATGAATAAATATCTATGCTAAAATTCCTAAAATAGTTTGGATCTGTGATCATCTTCAGGAACAAACCATACTTATCCAAATAACCATACATGATGAATATTCCAGTAGAATGTCAGGGTATGTCTATACTAGCCCCCTAGTTCAAACTAGGGAGGCTAACGAGGGTGACCGAAATTGCAAATGAAACACGGGAGGTTTAACTGGTAATTCAAAGTAAGGGGTTTATTTCAGAATCACCCTTCTCCTCCACGTGTAGACGCGAGCAGTTCTTCTGGGCTAATCAATTTCCAAAATGGTGACTGCCCGGGAACATGCTAATGAAGCGCGGGATATTTAAATCCCACACTTCATTTGCAATTTTGGTCGCCCTCATTAGCCTCCCTAGTTTGAACTAGGGGGCTAGCGAAGTCATACCTTCAGAGATATATACATCAGAGTTATGAATTGACCAGTCAACCACAGACCTCCTTTGGAGCTGGAAGGACAAAATCAAGCAGAGGCAGAGACCAAAACAAAACAACCCACAAATACAATACAGAGTTAAATGCAAACTACTAAAAAATAAAGGGAAAGCAGAATTTTTCTCTTCTGTATAGTAAAGTGTTCATTTGCAAAGAAGAACCATCATACTCTGTTCAGCGGTATGAGTATTTCAGGGTTACGAGCAACCACCATTCCCAAGGTGTCCATAACTCTGAGGTTTTACTGTATAACCCTACAAATCAAACATGCTGCTTGCAATTTGCAAATCAAGTTATTTCTCCTTGACCGCTTCGTTAATAACCACAAATCTTCTCAGCTCACCATCTGTATTCCCAAAGAAAAGATGAAAACACAGTAGGCTAAAGAGTCTAGGCTGCTGCAGATTAGAAGAGGACTGTTACAAAAGTCAGTCTAATTTGAAACAGCCTTTCTACTGGATATCAGGAAAACACTGTTCTCTACTATTATCAAGGGGTCAGCTCACGTATTTTCACCATGGGTTTAAATATTACAGTTGATGACAGTCGTCCGTACCATACAGGCTAGATTTCACTTTCTCTGAAGCATTGTCAACCTACTAGCTTTTTCCAGGGGCTTCTGTTTAGAAAGGTCTGGTAGCCCCAGTCTATCCCCAGAGCCCTCTGGTTCTCCCAAGTACGTTACTTGCGAAAATAAAATAAAACCACGCACCTTTGAAGACTCTGTAAATAGACCTGTCTGAGGGCTAATTTCGAATTATTTGCAGCTTCACTTATGTTTTGCTTAGGAGGTGGTGGGTTGGTTTTACCTGTCAGCATCCACTTGGCACTAGTTGCCTCTCCTTCAGAGCTAGGGTGAGTTATCTAGTTACCATGGCAACGTGGCCTGTGCTTGAGGGTTAGACAGCGTGCTTTGTACAACACACGTGCATTTGACAGCTCTTGAAAGAAACCCACTAATCATTTTCAGAACTTCCTCGTGCCTCTTCATTTCATTTATTTCAGACATAGACCCTGGAGGAATCTCAAAAATAAATGTTTCAAGTGGATTTCGGCTATACTTGTGCCATATCCCCTTCCCTCACTAACCATCCTTCTTAAACTGGCTCTAGAGAGGGTGGCATCACGGCTCTTATGCCTGCTCAGTGCTGCCCACAGATTCGTCTTTGTTGAAGTGAATCTTGCCCAGTATTACCAGCCATTTCCCTTACTTGACCACAAGTCAAAAACTAAAAGACTGGACTCAAAGCTCTTAGAAATTCACGAGAGATTTTCTAAGTGATTTTTACTGCATAACAAAGACCTGCATAATTTGTCACAGATGGGGTGCGTCTAGACTGGCAAGAGGCTGCTTTTGCACAAAAACTTGCCAGCTATCTACCCTGGCCGCTTGAATTTGTGCAAGAGCACTGATTTTGTAATGTACAAAATCAGTGCTTCTTGCACAAATACTTTCACGCTCCCACTCGGGAAAAAGTCCTCTTGCTCAAGAATACTTGCGCAAGAGGGCCAGTGTAGACAGGGAAGAACTGTTTTGCGCAAAAAAGCCCTGATGGCTAAAATGGCGATTGGGGCTTTCTTGCTCAAAATCGTGTCTAGACTGATCGTGCCAATCTAGACGCGCTTTTGCGCTTTTAACTGTCCGTTAAAAATATTTCCGCAAAATCATGCCAGTCTAGACGCAGCCATGGTGTTTTCTGTACACTGGGGCATAGGTATGGGAAAATGGAAGAGAGTGTATACTGAAGGATGCAGGTATATTGGAGCAGTATGACTGGGGAAGCTTGCACCTGTTGGCACAAGTATTTGCTTTAGCCCTGTGACAGGTTTGACATACCGCATGACACTTCAAGCTGGTCTTCTGGGAATTAGCTCAGCTTGCTCTGGGTCACCCTCTTCTGGCAGTGTCTTGCCCACAGCTACCTGACCTTCTCTGAGATCTCCAGCTTGTCAGGACTTAGGTCTCTCCCAGACCATGGTGCCTTCTCCTGGGTACTGCCCTCCTGGCCGCGCCCACATCCAGTTTCCTTCCCTCATGGGGAATCCCATTACCTCTAAACCCATCCCTTGCCAGAGCGACTCACTGCATTTCTTCATCTAGCCCCTTCCCTTAAGGGCAAACTGCAGTTTGAACTTGCCCCTCATCATTGGCAATGGGTATGGGCCTGCTGCCTATTCCTACCCTTGGCTGTCCCTCTGTGGTCCTAATACCCCCTTAAGGCCCTATATCAGGCCCTCAGCCTGGGAGTTGGTCAGATCAGAGCTCCCCTGGCTCCCCCACTTTCTCCTTCCCTTCTCTAGCCTTGGGAGGAGCCATTCCTGAAGGTGCTCCATGCCCTTATTTAGCATTCACACTCGAGTGTCTAGTTTCTGGCATTGTTTTCGCAGTTCCTCCTTCTCCCTCTGAACCCTCATCAGCTCTGTTTCTAAGTTCCAGTAGCTGGAGCAGGCTGCTTGCCACACACCCTTTAACAGCCAGATGCAAGCACCTTTCCCTAACATCTCTTTATCCCATTTAGGGTTGCCCTATCCTTTTCAGGCAAACCTTTTCTCTATACAGCTAAAATCCATGTCAATCGTGACTGGCTTCACAATCCTGCCGACTACGCCAATTCTGTCAGCCGATGGTCAGGGCAGTGTGTGTGTGTGTGTGTGTGTGTGGTCCTGTTGCAGCGGGCAGCCTTAGGGAAGGCTGACGGCACCCCGAGAAGTTTTACGTCCATGTATTTGACCGCTAGGACCGGGGTCCCTTCACAGCGGGCAGCCAACAGGCTGACAGATGCCCCAAAGTTTGCAGGGAGGGCTTATTACACCTGTGTCTTCAGCTGCTAGGACCGAGGTCCCGTCATAGCAGGCAGCCTAGGGAAGGCTGACGGATGCCCCTACAGATCTGTCCCCTGGAGGTGACACGATCCAAATGCCCAGCTTTGCCTGCGTCTGCTCCCTATGACCGGCTGGAGTTCTTTTAAATTGTGCTTGGTTCTGTTACAGCAACTGAAGGAGTCAGGTTAAAGCTTAAACAGTTACAGGTTTATTAAAGAAGCTTATAAATCATATGGTTACAATGGCTATTGCTCTATTTCTTAACTGCTAGCAAATACAGATCTTAAAAATGGTTACAAAGAAAATAAAGATAGAAAATAGAAATAATGGTACAAAGTGACAGCTTAATCTTTAAAGAGCTCTAAGTCTATGTGTACACTTAAGACAAAGGACACATCCAGGTACAATTTTTACCCCCTTCTGTGCCTCT